CCCAAGCCTGTAGCGTTGCAGGGGGTTGTTGTGACCCAAGTGCAGGACCCAGCACTGAGCCTTGTTGAACCTCATACAATTGGCCTTGGCCTGTCCATCCAGCCTGTCCAGATCCCTCTGTAGAGCCTTCTTGCCCTCAAACAGATCAACACTTTTGCCCAGTTTGGTGTCATCTGCAGACTTACTGAGGCTGCACCTGGTCCCCTTGTCCAGATCGTTGATAGATTAAACAGAACTCGCCCCTGGGGAACACCACTTGTGACCGGCTGCCAACTGGATTTAACTCCATTCACCACAACTCTTTGGGCCCAGCCATCCAGACAGTTTTTTACCCAGCAAAGAGTATGCCTGTCCAAGCCATGAGCGGCCAGTTTCTTCAGGAGAATGCTGTGGGAAATGGTGTCGAAGGCTTTAGTAGGTCTAGGTAGACAACATCCGCAGCCTTTCCCTCATCCACTAAGTGTGTCATCTTGTCACAAGAGACCAGGTTAATTTCAGGCTAATAATCAGGAGAATTTCAGTGGGAGCTGAGGATGGCCAGTGTCTCTTAAGAGGCCAGGGCAAACAGACTCCATATCCTGAGGGATATTTGTTTGCATGGATGTCAATAGGATTTTGAAGCTTGAACCCTTGTCAACATATTTTCTTTGTTTTAATGAAGTACAAGGTTTTGAAAATATGTTAAAATTCGCCTTCAACTCTCTTCACCCTAGAAGAGACCGGTACTTTGAGAAAAACTCTCTACTTAATTTCCCTGAATTTTTCCTGTCACATTTACCTCCTTGTGTTCTCTTGTGGCACTCGTTAGAGCTATAGCTAACCCTTGTCATTATTTTTCTACTCCAGGGACGTAGGACAGGTCCTGAGTTTGCCAGATTTTTAACTAATGCTTTAAGGACCAGGAAGACTGTTTCCTAGGTCATTCATCTCTTCTTGTGAAGGAAGGAGTGTTCTCTTTCAGTAGTTTTAACCAATGGTTTCTGTTGATTTGGGTTTTGAGTAGGTGTTCCAAGCAGGAGGACTAATGGAGAAGACCTTTGTTCTAATGTTTATCACTGTCAAAAGGCATTTCATAAGTTGTTTGTCTTTTCTAGGTACAGGCAGTGGATCCCTCTCCCATGCTCTCATCAGGACAGTGGCTCCCACAGGGCACCTGTACACAGTGGAGTTCCATCAACAGAGAGCCGAGAAGGCCAGGGAGGAGTTTCGGGAGCATGGGGTAGAGCATCTGGTCACTGTGACCAACCAGGATGTCTGCAAAAATGGGTTTGGTGTCTCGAACATTGCAGATGCGGTGTTCCTAGATATTCCATCTCCATGGGAAGCCATAGGACATGCAAAGTCAGCATTAAAAGCTGAAGGTAACTGCACTTATCTCTTTCTGTTCAGGAAGTACTGTGCCTGCACACATCTCTGCCTTCCAGCCATAGGCTAGATCTGCTAGCTTTAATTGTGTGATCACTGTTCTCAAATGTCAAAGTGTCTAGGCATTTCTAAGACTGAAAAACCTTCAAAAGAAATTTTCAGTTTACTGTGGAAGATTTGAAAGGAGAACAACTTTCTCCTACAGGCCTGTGCTAGCTGCTGCAATTAGCATGGGCAGTTTATAAAAACACTTTGAACCTTTGTCAAGTGCATTTTGCTAGATCTGAGGTGTGTGGGAAGCAGCGGTAACAATAAATGCTGAAAGCAAATTTCTTTGGCAATTCAGTGAAAAGGTATTTGTATAAAAGGTGTTCAGACGCACTTCACATCAATCATGGCAGATTTGGACCTATTTAACAGAGCACCCCATCAGTAATGTTAAAGAAAATGTGGCTATATTTAAATATGCTTGCCAATTTCTGCCTTAAATCTCTGCTGTTGGAGCTAATGAGAAGTTTGTCATCAGTTGCAGTGGGAATGGAACATACATGCTGTTGTAGCTTATGCCAGTTATTCCGGGATTGTGACAGCAAGTGAGAACAGTTGTTGAGGTATTGGACAGATTTCGTCAGTTTATTATAAATCTTTTCCCTATTGAAAAATAAGCTTCAATGAATAAATCATTCTTTTATCCTGGAATAAGTTTTCCCATAATTAATGTTGTACTAGTGTAACTGTACTAGTGTGGATCTGAACTAACTTGTGCCTTCTTCCATCTACGAAAGTGACTTTTCTAATCAAGAGAGCATGGAGTGCTGAACAGTGCCCATGCTGCGACATGAGGTTAGTAAAACTTGATTATGTGCCAAGGCCCAGCTCGTTGTTAAAATATGTAATCACGGGCCTGACTTTTAAGTGAACTGATAGGTCTTCTTGAAATCATGGGATTTAAGCTTGTTCTTAAAGGTCACTGAATGTGCATTACCTTGCACAGTCAGGACTGACCCAGTGGTTAGGCTACCTCAGCTACTACTGAAAATTTTCTAGAAAGCTTTCTGATACCAATGTAACAACACATGCTTTCTTTAAAAAGTGAATAGAGACTTATCAGCACTCTGTACCTGCAAGGGTTACAGCTCAGTTTGTAGCTGCTTTCCAGTGTGTCCTGGGAAAAAAATAATTTTCACTGCACTGTACAATGCCTTTCCCATGCTCAAATTATCTAATCTAGTGAGCACAACACTCAGCTGACTTTCCAGTTTAGAAGGCGCTGCATTGCGCAGTCCAATTTGAATTATTTAAGTGGTGCATGTTTGGAATTCTAAGCAGAGCTGTTTGAACAGTTCCAAGTTTTGAATCCTTGTCTCACTCCAGCATTTGAAATCCCAGAAAAGGTATTATAGTCCCAAACTGGCCATACCATCTGCCTGTACTTTTCTGTGCTATGTGACAAGGTTACATCTGCTTAGGAAATATTAAATAATACTTTAAAATCCCATATTTTTGTGTTTGTGAAGTGGCATCGTGCTTTATGTACCAGTCAAAAGGAGAAGTTGCTGATCCTTGCTGCAGTTTTTGCTGCAAACATCCACCAGTGTCTGAGATCTGGTATTGGTCTAAAGCTCATCTTTTGGGTTTCACAGTACCTGACTGATCTGGCGGCATTTTTAAAATTTTGCTATTTTGCATATAAACAAAAGCTGTTTTGCTTTTTCATATAATAGATTGCAGTAGTAATAGGTAGAAACTAACACACTTCTCTGTTTTATTCCAAGTCATGTGGGTAGTTTTGTTGTGGTTTTTTTTTACTGCTGTAAAATCTAAAATGTGATAGAAGGGTATCTGTAACTGCTTCCCT